AAACCTCCAGATCTTAAAGATAAAAATAATCTGATAAATCAGACCGAATTACGGACTCAAATCCTAAACAGATATACCTTCATGTACCTCACCATCCTAAAAGTACACAAAAGTACACAGTAGCTTTTCAAAAATCTTGAAAATCTTGGAGCTGGGCGTGTCTGAAAGCTTGGGGATTTTTTGCGAGCAACGCGACCAACAACCAATCACATGAATCTCCCGCCCGACATACAACGCAAAAAACCCCGGGGATTTTATGCGAGCAATATATATATATATAAACTCCCCAAACAGGCGAAAACCTACCAGTTTCACCCACTGTCTCTGCCACCTCCCTCCATGCCTGGTTCCTCCGGTTTGTATCCAGTGCTTGAATTGGAATGAAAAAGGTGCCAGTACTCTAAAATCAGCAACTTTTTCAAGTCAATTTTATATATACAGCCCACAAACAAGAATTTGGCTACTATAATGCTGGTGGGTTTGTCTCTTTACTACTGTATATTTTAGAAAGGTTCACTGTACTTAACATTTTTTATGATAGGCAGCGGATATGGCTAAAGCTCAGTAAGGTCAATATTAACTGAAAATATAGCAATCAAAGTCTAGATCTTCTGCTGAAGACACATGAAGCAGAGACCTTTCAGGTGAGAGCCCCTCTGGTGGTGTTCAACATTAATGACAAGGAAACAAAGCTCTGGTCAGAAGCATTTTTATAAAAAGCTTTAACAAAATTAAGTATTTCTGTACATTTTGAATGCAATCTAACTTTCCAACTCAGAAAACGAAAAACGAAAAAGTGCCAAAAGTCTTCTCACATGGCTGAGCTGCTTTGCAATATACTTCACCACTGAAGAATACAAATATGTATAAAGTAAACTATGATGCAATCTAACTTTCCAACTCAGAAAAATGATAAAGAGCATGAACAAAGAACATGTAAAAACAAATGCAAAATTTGCACAATCTAAAATGAGAAACTGTAACTGCAAGTAACAAAGTCTGAGCCATGGTAAAGAGTTACATTGAACACCAAGCTGATCAGATAACTCCCTGGTTGGTCTGAAGCCCTTCTATCTCCAGGATCTGTACAAATCGGCACATTATGCCAAAAGTCTTCTCACTGGGTGAGCTGCTTTGCAATATACTTCACATTGTTAGAAAAGGCTCCAGAAGGCCTTGGGGACATCAGTATCAGGGGCTGGAGCTGGACAGGCTCTTTCATCAGCACTTCTCCTTCCCTTTGCCAGCCAGGACCTCACATACTGTTCCGGATTGAACTGTCCTAGTGATGGTCCATTACATTTAATGAAAACCAGGCTGGACAGTCGGCTGACAGAGAGAGCATTCCTTTTTGCAGTAAGGATATCGTTCATGCAGCTGAATGCCCGCTCACACTCACTAGTGGAGACAGCGATGGTTCGGACTGCTTTCAGTAGAGGCTCCATGGCAGCAGGTGTACGGGATGCCCTGGTTTCCTTGTATTCGCGAAAGCCCTGAACAGTCTCTCTTCTGTCCACTTTCAGCACTTCGCACAAACGTAGCACCTCTACGTCCCCATACTGTACGTCTAACTCCTCTTCAGGCCAACTTCCAGGATGGATAACTTTCATGTCCTGGATTAGCTGATTGTCCCGGGCCTCCCGGCCATAGCAGTGCCACACAAACAGGCTTGGGAATTTACTACACAACTGGGTAGCAACGCCTGTTCTCTTCCCTAGCATGACTGAAGCCCCATCACATGCAAAAGAAACGAAACACTGACCTAAAAAGTCCTCGTTAAAATCTCTTCCAAGACACTCCATTAACGCCTTTGTGATGTCATCAGCCGTTGTTCCATCCAACTCGATCAGCTCCCAAAAAAACGTTTCGGGCTCAGCATCAGCTAATGCTGAGCGTAGACACACAACAAGCACCGTTTTACCACTAATAGTGGTAGATTCATCGACCAAAACACAGAGTTTTCTTTGGTTTTCTGTAATGTCTTTTGCCATTTTTTTCTTCAGCTCATGAGCTATGTGGTCGATGATTTCGCCACAGGTTTTATTGGAGTGCAAAACCCTGCCCACGTTCAGCCCATTCAGTTTCTGTACATTCAAATCAATTGGCATGTCTGTGAATGGCCGGCTATGTTTGCTAATTTTATATGCCGTTCGAAAAACTCTGATAGTGGTGTCTAATTCAGATTTATGCATAGACTGCACTTGATGTTGAATAGTTTCACGTGAAGCAGATGTAAGGATGTCAGCAGCTTTTACATGGGCTTGTGATTCTTTATGTTCTTTGATTTGTTTTCTCAGGCTAGCTTGTTGTTTGCCCTTGTCAACACCGAAATGAGACACTGCACACTCACCCCATTCAGTTGACAGTTTCAGTCCTTGTCCAGTGTGTATTCCCAAAGATTTGACATCTCTGCATATCCGACATCCTAGCTTCTTATCTTTAAGAAGGAGCCATGCATTGGTCTTGCAAAAATATTGCACCTGGTCCGTTGTCCAGCAGTCAGGTGCATCGCTTTGCCCGGTGTTGGTGGTGGCAGTTGCGCCAGCAGCAGCTAACGTTAGAGGCTCTGGAGGAGGCGGCGGAGCTAGTGCTAATGCTAATGCACTAGAACTTGGAGCAGGAGGATCAACCAAAGAAAGCTCCCCATCAGACACCATTTCCAACACAGGCACAGCATTCTCTGTATTTGAAGTTTCTTCCGGCGACAACCGCTGTCTTTTTGCACTTTTATTAATCCACGCTAACATTTTAGAAATGCTAATTTGTGACGTGACTTGCTTTCCTTCTCTCGGGGCGTGCCTGCTCTGTTCTATCACTCTACATAGCCACCCACTGGGTGGGAGTTGCACTGCATAAACACAACACACGTGCATCTAGATATGTAAATTGTAAAGCATTAAAACATGGTTTTACTAACAGTTTTCAGTATGTTGTTACTTCGGCATTATTATTATTATTATTTTGAAACGTGTATTACTATTAAATCACGGTCAAATAGGTTAATTTTGACATAGTCGTTTCCACCACAGTATTTACATGGAGAAGATAAGCCCCGCCCCCTCTCCAGCACGTTCTGTTTGAATGACAGGAGTAAACAGCTGACAGCCGCTGTGAAACTCCAGCGGTTAGAGCGATGAGAATGTCCGTTCGGCACCTCATGACGCATCTACTGAGTACCGGGCGGCTGTATATATATATATGGATGTATAATAAGAACGGCGGGAGAGTGTTGAGTACTGGCACGGTGCATGAGTACCGGAGTACCGCCAGCATGCCGGTACTGAGCAAGAAGTGCCGGTACTCCATGGGTCAGAACCAGAAGTGCCGGTACTGCGTACCGGTGAGTACCGGCCCAATTCCAGCACTGTTTGTATCCCGTTAATAGTTCTGGTCGTAAAGAACCGGGTGATTTTCTACCGTAATTTCTCGTTTGGAATATGAGGAAATGAACTGCGGTCTGGTTCTCCCTGCTTACACACGGTTTGATTGGCTAGCGCTTCTACTGTCAGATTTGCATAAACGGGATTTGATTGGCTGACGCTTCCAGCTCAGCTTCAAAAGTAGAACATTGCTCAACTTTTGAATCCTGAAAATCATGGAAATCATGGAAATCTTCCATCCAGTCATCCCCATTCAAAGTCAATGGGCAGAGAAGCGTTGGAAGATTTGTTTAAAGCTGCTGTGTGGACGTACCGTAAGTCACTCAAGCTTTAATTGTTAAAGGTCCCATGTCTTGGCCATTTCTACTGATCATAATTCCATTGTTGAGGTCTACTAGAATAGATTTACATTGTTCAATGTTCCAAAATCACATTGGTTTTCTCATACAACATCTCTGTATAGTATGTGTATTCACACTCTCTGTCCTAAACGGCTTGTTGGAGCTCCTGCCCCCCCCCCCCCCCCCTCCCTATGAGCCCAGTGTGCTCTGATTGGTCAGCTCGCCCACTCTGTTCTGATTAGTCAACCACCGTTACAGCTGAACATCAGTGTTTATGTTTTACAATGGCGTTAGCAACCAGAAAATGACACCAGTAAGGACAAACAGATGAGAATGCTGCGTGGGGTCTGGGTGCTGTGTTGGCGGGACGTTGCGGGGCTCGCTGGTCCGCCCCGTGGGGCTCGAGGAGCGGACAGTGAGAGATGGATTACTAATGTCGTTTCCTGGTTGCTGCGTGGGGTCTGTGGGACATGCCAGCGGACACCGCGGAGCGCCGGCACGGCACTTGGTCTATATCCAGCATCCAGAGAAACACAGCGGGAAATCCACCTCACACTGTCCGCACCAGGGGCCTCGTGGGGTGGACTCGTGAGCTCCGTAATGTCCCGCTAACATGGCACTTGGTCTATATCCAGCATCCAGAGAAACACAGCGGGAAATCTACCTCACACTGTCCACTCCGGGAGCCTCGCGGGGCGAACTCCTGAGCTGCTCGGGAGTCCACCCTAGCAGAGGGTGTGCCTATTGTTCTATAGCTGTGTGCCAATTGGTCCATTTGGACTTAGTGACGTCAATAGGTCCCGGAAGATAAAAATGGAAAAATAAAAATCTACAACGAGGCATTCTGGGAAAGAATAGACACGTATTTTCTGTGTTAGAGTTTTACTCGCTACAGGGTCTACTTTGAAGGTTTGTGACTTTGCAGACCGTTTACATGCAGAAAAAGCTACATAACACACAAGGAACCAGAAAAGCATATGATGGGACCTTTAACTTAACAATATTATCAAGCCCCAAATACTCTCCCCAAATACACAAATCATCACAAATCGGCACTGACACAAAATAAAGTCAGAGGACTCCAAAGAGGAAAGACCCCCTTTACCTTCGATCCTGTCGGCATCTAAATACTATTTCTTTCAATATTTTCATTGTAAATGTTTCTTGCCTGTGCACCAATACACCAAGTAAAAATTCCATGTACGTGAAACCTACTTGGCAATAACCTGGATTCTGGGTCAGATAACAACAAACAGCGAGTGGTGTTGATGCCAGTTACCTGGGGAACAGGTATGACGATGAAAGAGCCGCCGCCAGAACTCTCCGTGACGACTGCCAGGAACTTGGAGTTGACGGCACAGAAGTGGTTTGTCATGGACGTTCTTGGTGATGGGGATACCGTCGAAGCAGTGCTCCCGGTTGCCTACTTTTCCGTAGACATTTCGAAACTTGGAGCTTCGGTAGGTTGGACGCCATGACATCTGAGGATGATAAACAAATACGTTTATTTTTATTTTATAGAACATCCTGATAGATTACTTAAAGGTGGGGTAGGTAAGTTTGAGAAACCGGCTCGAGATACACTTTTTGTTATATTCCATGGAATGCTCTTAACATCCGATAGCAATGAATATCTTAAGTGCTTTGACAAAAAATCCATAAAAATATGTCATCTGTGGAAGCCGTAATACTGTAAACAGTACAACGCTAAACGGATTGGATTGCCGCCTTGTCTGTCAGCCTTCCATCTCGTGCACGCACAAATGTATCTCGTGCCCTCATTTGGCGTGCATTGCAGCTGCAGCAGTACTTCAATGACTCGCCAGCAACAGGCGGCCACTTTCACCAGTCTGCTGACGTCATGTGCGCGTTCATGTGTGTTGGAGGAGGTGCTCTGTAAGGAAGTCTGAAGGAAGGGGCGGATTCTTTTCGGCTGTGTACTTTCACATTTTACTGCACTCGAGCCGGTTTCTGAAACTTACCTACCCCACCTTTAAGGTTGTTGTATAGGCAATTAACAATTATTGGCAGATCTATAAATGTATATACTTCATGTCTCATTGTTAAATTGTTAATAATCTGTTGATGAAATGTTGAAAAATCTAAATTTCCCACAGTGATATTTTACTCGTTTTCTCTGATCCCAAAACCCAAAACTATTCAATTCATCACCTGTTATTTTGAATGTTCAGTAAATATGCTTGCTTAGCAAAATATATTAAGGATAACAGCGTTGACCTCGATTTGGCATCCAGTAAATTGGTGTGGACATTGTATCAATGTTGTTGTATATTTTAGATGACAACCCTGCTTTTTACAATTTTTCCAGTAACATTTTAGTGTAGGCAGAGGAGAAGAACATTTGGCGAAGTTAGTACTAACATAATAAAATGTAATTACACTGCCAGCGAAAGTTATCTTCATCCTTCATGTATTATTGACAGGATGTGATGATTATAATGCAGACAGCAATAATAAATACTAATGTCAAGTTCCCATCTAGCAAACCCACAGTAGCGGGGTGGGCTGTCCCATCTGTGCAGACATGATAACTTTCACACATTCACTTGTGGAAAATCGTCCAAATTAGTCATGGATGTGAGGCTTTTGAAGGGTGAAAAGTGTTCAAATTGCCCACGATTAGTGTGTCAAGAAGGGATAGCAATAGAATATTAAAGACATTTCTTAAGAATAATATACTTACAGGAAAAGACAGCTGGTTAAACCGATATGAAATATTGCAGTATGTCCTGTAGTTAGTAACTTTATTTTGGATCACATGGATCTCATACAACAAAAAAGCAGCCTTTGTTTGCAGCCACTGCACACAACAAAAGAGGAGAAGTGGTTTCATTTGACTCAAGAAGCTTCTTTTGTCTGTCTCTCCACCACAAGAATGCATTGACGGAGCTTCATTTTTTGGCGTGAGCTGACTCTGTACAATGATTTAAAGGTTGACAAAAGATGTCTGTGTCTTCTTAATGAATGTGGCAACACTGGGAAATATTCTGAAACTGGATCTGTTCATTAGTATAAATCCCAGTGATATCGGTTCGCAACAGGAACTGGCGGGACAGGATTTAGGACTCTTGTCAGATCACTAGCAGCGTTGCCGGATGACATCAGGCAATCCTCTATTCAGCATTGTTCTTGGGATGTAGAGGGAAACTGGTGGGAGTGGTGTACACATGCAAATAGAAACATCCTCAGACCATGCGGCTGCTATTGTCCTTTCCCGTCCCTTTCGGTCTCGAACCAGACTGGAGAAATGGCTTCCAGTAGGCAACAATACTATGGCTGATCACTTTGCCCTCACTCCAGCCTTCAAATGTTGCAGCCGGGGTGACATGGCAGGAGTAATACAGTTACTATGCAATTACAGTGTCAGCACATTGTTGTTATTTTTAAACCCTACGTATGATGCTGAAACTGTTTCTAAATTAGATTTCAGAGGGAATTGTAATGTTATCTCAACTCCATTTTATTTCTCCAACAGCAATTAAGTACTTACTCTTTCAGATCAAGAACTTAAATAATTTATGAAGAATAACTATGTATTGTAACAGAGTTACTATTCGTCCAGAATCAAAATCTAAAGAACTGAAGCAATGACGCAAATCACAAAGGAAAATAAGTCCATTGGTAATACAGAAGTTTCTGTTTTTTTGTGGTTTATTTACCCTAAGGAAGCAAACAAAGAACAAATAAATCATGGCTCCTCCTGTCTCTCTTGCTCTGAAAAAAACTAAAAATATAGACTCTCAAAGGTGCATGCTGGTCCTATACCTGCCTCAAGTCTAGCTAAATTAAAAACAATAAAATGATAATAATGTATAATGAAGAAAAACCGGAAATAAATCCAACAGTCAAAACAATCTGAAAGAAGCCAGTTTGTATAATAATTAATTTACTTGTTAACTTGTAATGGATAACTTTAGTTTGACATACATTGAAGTACTGCAAATGTTACTTAAGTAAAGGATCAAAGTATCTAACCCCTCATTAAATGTATTTGCTTTTTGTCCCTTTTTTATTTTATATTATTGAATATATTTGGTTTCCGACGGCTGGTCACAAACATTCTACAGCGTGCAGCATACTATAAGAACATCTCACTCTCATCAAACGCAGATTGACTACTCCAGAACCACGGCTGTATGGGCAACATAATAGCAGCTTGTTATAGAATTAATGTAGAACAGAAGAGCAGCAGAAAGCGGCCTGCGGGACGGTTAGAGGAGACTTGCCTGCTTTGAGCTCTCTTTACAAGGATGCTCATTCATTGGTCATTGGGGTATGGCACAGAGAGGATATCTGTGTGTGTCCGGGTCTTTCTAGTCTCACGAGGTTTCACAGTATAAACACACCCACACACACACACACACACACACACACACACACACACACACACACACACACACACACACACACACACACACACACACAAACAGATGACGAGCAGGGGTGTGCAAACATTCACAAAACACAATCAGAGAAAAATAAACGACTTGGTATTCATTGAGGCAAATCACAAGACCTGCTGGTTGAGAGCATGATTCCCCTCAGGGTTAAACTTTCTAAGGTCAATTTCATTTGGGCATATTCTCAAATGTTTATGCCAAGTCGGACACATTACAAACATAACTGGATACCTGACAAATGTTCTCATAACAACCACCCTGAAAATGCCAGCTTACCTTCCCAGTGTCCTTTGAGGGACACTAGTCACAGACTTGCCTTCTCACACTGCAAACATCCACACTCCTTTCTCAGCGAGCTGCAAGAATCTCCTCTCTTCCTTCCTTCCTTCCTTTTCAAATCCAAGCAGCCAGTCTGTGTCTGATTCTCTCATGTTTTTCCTCCCCACTCCCCTTTAAACTCTCTTCTCCTCCTACTGGTACTGATAGCTGCAGGGCTAGCACTCCCCCCTTCCCAGCTCTTACCCTTCTCTCCCATCCTGCCACTCAGTCAGCCCTCTGTCTCTGTCTCTTTTAAAGTTCAGGCTCCAGCCCAGCCAGAAGTAGCTATTCAGCCTCTCTCCTCTCCTCCCACCGCCTCTATGGAATCACAAGGCCTTTCTAAGCTGATTTGCTAAAACTCCCAGCTGTTTTCAGTCCTCTCTTCATCCTCCCCTCTTATAGTCTCTTATCTCTACTCTCATCCTTCCGTCCTCAGGAAACCTTCCAAGGTTTTGTAACGACAGGTGGACACCAGAAAGAATGACAGCAACTGTGGCTCTTGTTAGCAACTACATCACTGCCAAAAACAGGGTGATTACATTTAGTTATAGTACAATGAAACAAAGACCTTCACACTCTCGCTTATAACAAAAAGTTGAAACATCAGAAGGAATGTGGAAAACATATTTTCAATAAGAAATTGTACAATATACAGTTGTCTCAAAGCTGAAATAAAATGTCATCAAATTCTCAGTGTCTGCATACAGTGGCTTACTGTACATTAGCTATATTCAGAAATGTAATATCTTGTCTTTGAAGTTTTTTTCTTCTTTTTTGTGTCATTTAATGGAACATTTGTATTTTGATTCCACATTTGGCTCTAAGTGAGAAAAAAAGGCACATTTCTTACACTTCATCCAATAAAACATGGCTGGGGTTTCATTTTTTCTTATACATTATAACTAGTTGTTCCTGCTCTTACAAAAGTATCCTAAAAACAAACAAATAAAGCGTTTCTATAAATATATGAACATAAGAGCTGTGTGTGAATTAATTGTAATGTATTTATGGTTAGTTTGACCATCAGTGTTGATTTATATTTAAATAAATGACTCCAATACAATAACTACATTTTATCTATGAAAAAGAAACACTGGGCTTCTTTGCCAGGAATATGTGAGATTTGTTAAGGACAACATATTATCAGGGAGCCTGTACTAAACTTGAGTTTTAAATCCATTCATATGTACAGTATATTAAATTGAGGCAGAGATCATTGTATGAGTGACTCCAGCTCCTAAATCACAGCTTTTTCCTCAACAGAAATGCCCTGAAGAATCTGCTCTTCCCTGCTTACTATTTCTGAAACGACCAGATCGATTCACTGAGGCAACTGCAGCAGGTGTTGTAGTGAAAATTGCCTCCCCTGATGTTTGTCTGTGTGAAAATGGGTGGAGGCCTGCAGGTTCACTATGAAGGGGGTTTGCCTTGGCCTCTTGGCTCAGTGTGTATGTGTAGTATGCTAGTCTTTATGATGTGTTGTACATGTGAGTCTCTTTATGTGCCTGAGTCCATGTCTGACCATGTGTTGTCTGTTTGCAGCAGTATACATTTACTGTGGTGTTCATGGCTGCCAGGCAGACCACTCCAGAGACCAGAGTGTGTTTATTGAGCTTTTTTTTGTCTTGCTTCAAGACACTGCTGCTGCTCTGTGCACACTCAATCCTCCCCTTTGAGGTTTAAACCCTCTTTCCGATATCCTTAAGGCAACAAATGGTTGTGTCTCAGTTACAAAAATCACC